TGCCAGCTCGCTACCCTGCACCTTTGCACCATCCTGCAACCCGGAGACCAACCAGGAATGGGGTTTGGAGCACTGCTTCCCACTGGCACCCCTGCCTAGTGCCTGGCACCTGGGAACGGCTCCTGGAAAGCCAGGACACAGAGGAACAAGATGGGATGGACCCATCATCTGCTTCACCCCGGCTCCCCATGGCACACCCGGAGCCCTGGCTCCGGCACCCACGGCGCTGTCAGGGGATCTGCCAAGCAATGAGCGACCTGCGGGCGGTGGGATGGAGGAAGCAAACCAAAAACCACTCGTGCTGCTTGGATGCCAAGGAAGGTGCAGGGGGAGCGTAGGGAGAAGATGCTGCACTGGGAGGGAAGGGGACGGGGCGCACAGGGCCGTTAAGCAGCAGGGAGTTTGCAGCCAGCTCTGCCTACCTGCTGGTCCAAATACTCTAGGTTTCTTTGCAACTGAAGGTCTAAAAGTTCATCCTACCAGGAGCCAGCAGACATGCGGCAAGAAACGAACACACAAAACAAATAGAAGAAGAAGCAAAGCAGTTAGGTGAAGGCTGTAGAAATGCAAAGCCTTCCTGTGCGGAGAAGCGAGGCGCCACCTCCTCGATCGCCGCTCGTCCCACGCGCGGGACACCTCCGAAGCAGCAAGGACACGCAGCCGCAGCGGGAATCTGGGCACGGAGGTACCTGCTTTGCCCTCAGCCTGGGGCCAGTCCTGCCCCACTGCTCCGTGGGGCTGATGCTGGAGGCTGGTGCAGGGATCCGCAGTGCCCCTTCGCCTCCCACCCCGAGCTTGGTGCCTCTTGCTGCCCCGCTGTGCCAGGGGCTCCTGGAAAACCCTTCCCTTGGCACGGGATCCATGAGAGCAGCAAAAACCGTCCACTTGGCGCAGGGCAAGGAGATGGGGATGCACCTGCGCTCCACCGCTCTCCTTGACCAGGACCTCTTGGAATTGCCCTGCTGTCTCCAAATCCCCAGAGGAAAGTACAGGTCAGGAAAAGATGAAGGGAGGAAGTCAGCAGGGAGCAGATGCAATGGGGCAGCGTCACCCCATCCTCAGCGGAACGGCCCCCAAGCTAAGCTGGGTGACAAGCCCAGGACCTGTCCCAGACCAGCATCTCTATGACCCACAAAGCTGCTCTCAAGCCAGAGCATCTTCCTCCTTGGCCACCTAAGCAAGGACCCCTGCCCTGGCCCAGATGCTGGGGACAGCAGGGGGACGTGGACAGCCCATTCCTGATGCCAGCAGATGCTCTGGACACACCACCCTGCCCGGGCCATGTGCCACGAGCTTGTCCCAGCTTCCCTGGGCCCTGCACCAGGTGGCATGTGCCTGGGGACATCCTCACGCGGGTGGGCCACAGCATCCCGGGAGCACACGTACCATCTTGTCGTGGACTGTGGGTGATGCCGGGTAGTGGAATGGGTACATTCCCGCTGGGATGGGCCGCCGGTCGCCCAGGTAGTCGTACTGTGGAAACAGGAGACCCCCCGGGAGACCCCAGGGATGTGAGAGGGCTGCAAGGGCCCAGGAAGCGCATGCAAAGGGCAACCCCAGGAGGCCTCATCCGCGGGAAAGTGGATATGGGAATATGCACTCGGAGCATGGCATGGCCACTGCAGCAGGGCACCAGCTCCCATGCAATTCCTCAGGCTCAGACCCCAGCTCTGCATCCCTCGGGATACCCCATCGGGCGATTACCTTGGGCGAACTGACCGAGCGCCTCATCACGAAGGTAGCCGGGTCGGCGTAGATCTCCTCTCCCCGGGGCGGCAC